AATTATCGCTCTTGTTGATCAGATCCTTTCCAAAATGAAGCATAATGATGTGACTATAGAACCAGAAATATATTCTAACACTCATGAAAGGAAATTATAGGCGAAGAGGCGTAGTGAATTTGAACATAATCTAAAAACCAGGAAAAAATATACATTTTGGGATTTAGCAGTGAATGATTATTCGAGGCAATTGATTACCTGGAATGGCTAGTTAGAAGTATTGCCTAACAATTCGATTTCTCTTTCCAAGTTGAGCAGAGTATCTCATCAAAGTGAAAAAGATTCAGATCTTGGTTTATTTATATTGATGACCACAAATTCCTTTTGTCTCAAATAACCATTGAGGACCTTTGAAGCTTTGTGCGTATCAGCATCTGTATAATGTTAGCAAGTTTTCAAGTTGAATCTCCATCACTGAAGAGTACAATATGCGTTGCATTTTCATGAATATCCGTAGGAATCCTGTGAAATTTTTGTGAGACATAAATAGAAAAAATATTCTCGTGGCGACCTCTACTAAAATATGGAATAATTTTTTTCTGTATAACTGGAGGGTCTGAACAAACATTCTCAAATATTATTAGTGTACTTCTTTTAGCATTGAACTTTTTTGGATCTGGAATTTTATCAGGAGTGAGTGTAGAGAATGTGATATTTTCATAGTATGACTTGGATTTATCTTGCGCAAGATATGTATAAAAATTTCGAACGATACTGTATTTAGGTTCGTTAAAGTGGTGGTCACATAATATGATATCATCACATTTAATATTACGCTCACCTATTTTAAATCTCTTTTTTTTCCCAAACATGTAGTAAAATTTGTTCATCACTAGTAAGTTTAGAATCATATTCGTTTTACCAGAATTGCTAGCCCTGCAACTATAATTTGAAAAGGCCATGGCGGTATGTGAGGATCACCCTGATACTTTTTCGAGAACTTGACTTCATCTACTGCGAATATTACGTATTTCATGATTCAATCTAACTAATTATTATATCAAAAAATAATGTAACAATTTCTCAAGTTCTGGCAATAAATGATCTGCCCAATTTTTTGATTGCTTTACATACTTACACCATCCAAATATCCCTTTTCGATTAGTGTATGCCTAATGAAATTATAGAAATTAGCGGTATACAGAACTTCAATTAGGCATATACCTTGCTCTTTGCAAATATCTCGCTTCTTCTGGTCACGCATTCTCTGTTCATCCAAATCTATCTCCCTTCTTCTATGGAACATTGAATTAAGAGAATAGTGTTGCCAATCATGAAATTCAAATTTTAGTTGCAATTCCTCATTATACCCATCAAGTTGCATCCCATTTAAAAGAATCAGCCTACATGATAGGAATTTCTTGCCTAGTAGATCCTCAAAAATATATCAGCATCGGCGTTCATTACTTCTATGATAATAAAGAGGACATCATTTGAATTTTTCATGATATACTTCAATGGATACTCCCATTGATACGCATCATTTTTGCAAGATAAAAGATATATATCATGACCATTTATTTGCCCAGTCTTTCCAAGGCATTGACTACCATGCCGAGAGGCATATTCATGTGCTTTTATTAGCATGTTATCAGCAATTTGAGTGAAATAAACAAATCCTGTATGATGATATTTTCGCATAAATTCATCGGGTGGGTATTCAATCTTATCAGGTTCTTCAATTATTTGAAGTTCCTCATATTTAAAGGGTCTTTTGGGATTTCATCCTATTAGATGAGCAGTAGATTCGATAGGCTTATTCTCGAGATAATATAAGACTGGTTGTGGTGGATTTCTTCTAATAACGACTTTTTTAATCTTGAAAATACGCAAGCTCCAATATGGATCGGTTGCTCTACGTCTATAGTCTCCTTCTAACTTGCCTGCTTTTAACAGATATCTAATTGCTGTGCCTTTTTGTAATTTTATCTCCTCATTTTTTCCGATTGCACACTTAGGTTTTTTAGAAGGCTTTGATTCTACTTCTTCCAAAGTCATAGCATGAGCTGGTGACATTCCAATAAGGCAAGTCTTACTGTTATTCAGATAATCAATATATTTCTTAAGGATTCTCTTAAATATCCTTGATCGCTTCCCATCAGTTAATCGTCCCTCTATAGTATATTGGACCTTATATGTTAATATTGCTATTCTTTTCTTAAGTGCTTTAATAAAAGCTAAGCTCTCAAACTATAAAGATCAACAACACATATTGTGACATTATACTATTGCATTCCTCGTGAAAATGTGCCTCTAAACGAAGCATCACCATCAGTCATTAATAATTTTAGCCATGTAAGGTGGTTAGAAGAATCCTTGTAGATATCTTTAATCGCAATCCAGATTTCTAAACTATTTCTTGATGTTAGTAAGAGTCTATCCTTAAAACGTGTTACCACATTGATAACTAGGAGAGTACAAACAAATACCCATCTACCATCTTAATCATAAGTGTGGAGCAATATACCGCATTGATGGACTTTATTTGAAATCTTAATCTTTGAAAAACTTGCCTCAGCTTTACAAGGTAATGGTTGTTGATAGATTTGGTAATTATATTGGTGTTTTAACCATTTTGTAATATCCTGTATTCGAAAAGAATATCCTTTCTCTTGACATGCTTTATGTATTTTTTTCACATTGGTAAAACCTGGTATATTATAATATAGAAGCCTACAGACAAGAACAAACTCATCATATAGATCTATCACAATTTGTGGCTGACTCATTCTACTTCCTTTTTCTCATAAACTTGAAAAAAGAAATACCTATCCCAGAAGTAAAAGAAAAAATGCTAAGAAATGCCAAGAAATTTCAGCGAACTTGGTTCACCCAAATTAAAGGTGGAAACTGTAATTAATATGTTGCAACTTTTAATGTTGCAACTTACGTTGCAATTAGTTTTAACCTATATA